CTTTTGTATGCAGAATTGATTCAGAAGTTCACCCAGAAGGCTCTCATTGCAAGCATCACCATGAAGATGAACATGGTAGCTGATTTCTCCAACTTTGATGTAATTAGGCTAAGGCATATGCTTCTATCTGTGCATTGAAAAAACTCTCTTTTCATCCTGTATGGTTGATAAACCTGAGAAACCTCTGTGATTTTACCCAAATGTAGGAATTTTTTTGCGCATATGATCCTATCCTCCTCTACTATATTATTTGAATTTTCCGCATATTTTCACAGTATACATTGTTTTGGGCAGAACATCACAAAGGGAAACATCATGATCATGTGCATGATTCGGCTGTCAACAGTGTCAGCATCGTTTCCGAGGGAACCTTAGACTTAGATGAGGTAATTTTCTATGTTAATATAAATGAGTGAGATAATGCTTTGTTGTTGTAATATAAATGAGATTATTTAAACTTGTTGTAGATGAATTTTATACGGAGTATTATTAATGATTGAATTTCTATCACAAAAGGTCAACATCATAGTAGGAATAATAAAAGATCTTAAGGATTTGTCTATAACTTTGTATTTGTTTGATTGTTGATGATTTAACATATCTAAAGTTCTCTTCACTCTGTAAGGTGGATCTTATAGGAGTATGTGAAAGTCATATATGTTGGTTTGTTATTTTAAACTCCCTTTTCCCAATATTATAGCACTCTTTCACTGGGCACATGACTTATGAGTTATGAAAGTGGCAAACGTGTAATTGATATTTATGCATGGCAAAGAAGTAGTATGGACCACATATTCTTCTCCTTAAAAAGAAATGAGACATAATTTCCGGACGGACGGAAAAAGGATGTGGGAACTTTATTTAATTTTGGGACAGGGGGAGTAGTTAGCATATGTCGTACATACTCATCAACTTCTCCTTCACGCCCCTCATGACCAGACACCTCGTATATGCCAAGTAATTTTCTTCATAGGAGCAACATTTTCAAACGAAGAGAGTAAACACCTCTCACAGGTCACGACCAAACATGGTAATAAGAGGAGTTATATATATAGAGGTCGGCCACACCCCCCTCTTAGCTAGAGATTTTGTAATTTCTTTTCATACGAGGTCCACTTCATAGCTATGTGTTGACCTGGCTTTGAAATGATAGTAGGACTTCAGGAGTTGGGGGTGGGAGGGGGGGGGATGGGGTTCCATCGTAAGACATTAACATGATAAGATAATTCAATCTGGTAAGCCTAAAAATAAAGCATAGATATTTCAAAATTATATGTTTCAATGAACCACCATCTTGTGTCGATATGCCAAGTAATTCTAGATCAGTTGAAAAAAAAACCTAACCTTTTGCGATTTAAAGAGTTTCTATCCTTATCACGTGTCATCCTATGTAATACAGGTTGACGATTGGCTCGAGAGACTTGTAGAGGAAAAAGGTGAAGATCTATACAGGATGAAAGGGATTTTGTCTATGAGTGGTTCTGAACAGCGATATGTATTTCAGGTAATGAAAGCACAGCGGAATTTGGTTTGGTGGATAATTCAATAATACTGCAAGTTTTTGTTGTGTGTTCTAAATCCTTTGTTTATTTCAGGGTGTGCATTCTGTTTTAGAAGGCTGCCCAGGCAAGAGTTGGGAACCAGAAGAGAGAAGAATAAACAAGCTTGTCTTTATAGGCAGAAACCTTGATGAAACTGCACTAAGGAAAGGTTTCAATGGATGTTTAGCGTGAGCCCAAGCTATTGCTTTTTTCTTCTATCTATAGACCAATCAACAATGACTATAAGGTATTACTCCATCTCGAACCACACACTTCTTCTACTCAAACAATCGTAGCTCATCTTGATCTTCACCTTGAAAAGGCAAATTGCTTTCTTTGGAAAGAAGCGTTTTCACTTATTTGTGGTGTGAAAAAGCTGCATTTTGAAACATCATTCTTGTATTTGGAAGAGTTAATACCCAAATTACTTCATCAACTATCCACTGTTACTCAATTTCAGTCTACTTTAGTTTAACCCTAAAAAACTTTGCAAAGTAATAGTCTACCTAAGAGCGTCATAGTTAATGCTGGTTTAAAGAAAAGTAAAAAAAAAACACTCTGAAGTTATTCTTTTCACCCCTAAAGGATTGGGCAAGTGTTCTTTTTGTCATCATTAAATGTAAGTTAAATTTATTTATTACCAAGTATTTCTTTTTTCTTTCTTATTTTATTATAAATTATTTTGATTTTTTGAAAACAAAAAAATCTCAATTTTATGGCAGTCAAAGCTCAAAACACCTTTCAACAAGGGGGATATCTCACTCCAGGTCTCATTTAAACCAAATATAGAAGCAGGCAGGCATCCTAGTTCAATGATTTTTTGATAAAAGACAACTCTATACACGTGAAGTCTTTAATAAGAGTCTTATAATCATCGATAACTAAATCAAAATATGAGGTATTCTCCATCTTGGTTTCCAACACTTGTCTATATTTCCACTTGAACATTCAACTCAACGCCTACCTCACACTCGAGTCCCAAATACGAAAGCATCATTTCTGATGGCAGCAAAATGTACAAAGTTTAACTTGTGAAACTCTCAAAAAAGAGTATGGAAGTCTTAAATAAGTTAAGGTGAGTTGTAAAGAATAATAGCGTTGACACTTAATGATAAGTTTTTAATAGTGCTAAGCAAAAATGACAGACCTTAGGCACAATGGTAAATTTCTCAGAAACCCAACACTCTTGAATCATGATCACATAAATTTTATGGGATTAAACTAATGTGGCCACTACGCAGGCTTTCTTGCTGGGGAGGTGTGGATCCTATTTTTGGTCTGGTTTAAGAAAATATCTGTGGACAACTGAAGATGTTTATGGAGAATGTGATCAACAATGCAGTCAGATCCAGTCTAGCAATGGTTCACCGTTCACGGGTTTATTCGATATTCTTTTTGTTTCCAAATCAAGTTGAAACTTGATCTCAGTATCCCAGTTGGTTAAGAATCCGAGTGTGGTGCAATATTCCTGACGTATGTGTGTTTTTCAAAAAATATAGTTTCAAGAAAGTGATTGAAGTAGGTGACTGCTGTAGGGGAACCCTACTATTTGAGGTTTATGAGAATATTAGAAGTGTCGATGAGAAAGGAACTTAAGTCATTATTTAAGAAAATGAAAGGATTTGTAAATGAAAGATAATAATATAAACAATTGCTGTAAGAATAATAACAAAAATGCACCTATGTGATTTTTTAAGTCATTATTGAAAAAAAGGATGGAATTGGATTAAAATGCAAGAAGTTAGAAAAAATGAAAGGATTTGAAAGAAACTGGAAAGAATAAATAAGATAAAAAAAAACTAGGAAAAAGTCGAAAAGAAGTTTTAAAATGTTAAAAGTCAACTTTTCCAACAAAAAAGAAAAGCTCTCCTTGCTTCTTCTTTTTTTTAACCAAAAGAATATTTTATTCATAAAAGAGAGAAAACAAACATAACCCACACCTAGAACCCATGTCCGGACAATAAAACAAGCTAAGAGTTGACAGCCCAGTACTCCAAAGAGAAAACCCACGGCATACACCCAAAAGCCGAACTAAGAAGAAGTAACCCACTATGCCAACAGTTCGGTACACTGTGATTCAATCATGCTAGACTATATGAAAAATGGTGTAAAATTAAAAAAATAAAAATTACACATTTAAAAATTACATCAAAAGATCTACAAAACTAGTGAAGACATGACTATATTATTTTATCAAATGACTAACGAAAATAAGAAAAGAAAGTGATTAAAGTTTGATCATGTGAATATTAAACATACAATTTAATTTGGGACGGAGGGAGTAGTGCATAATATTATTATTTCATTGGTATTTTTTCTTAGTATGTGTCATCAAAGTGTCAGTGTATATGCTTGGCGTAAAACTTGATAGACTCCAAGTGGTATGCATGTAGCTTTATTCTAAAAAATGACTCTCTAATTTTTTTTTTTTTGCGGAGTAACTTTTTGTTTGGTTTAGAATAAACCTTAAGGTAGGGACCTTATTTCTTTCACTCCCATAAATCTTAATTATAATTTGTAAAGGTTTGTTTGAAAACCAGGAAAATAACTACTGGAGAATGACTTCTTGAAATAACCTACTTTTCGTGAAGTCATTTCTATTTCTGTTGTTTGGCTAAGAATAAGAAAACTGACTATGTATGTTTGGTTCATTTATGGCAAATGATTAATATATAATGTGAGTAGCCTTTTTTTGTATTTCTTTTACATATTGGACTTGAAATGAAAGCTGGAGAAGCTCAAGTAGAAACACACCCACCAGGCCAAAAGCATGAGAATGAGAAATCAAAAGCAACAGAAAACATATTAGACCATCCCAATCGTAAAACTAAAAACAGATTCAACATTGACCATACTAAAACAATAACTCCACTTTTAACTAGACGATGTCAATCTTAAAACAGAAAACAGATTGAAGATCATACTAGCTTGATTATCCCACATAATTCAACATCGAAGTCTATAAGTCATATTTTGGGTGTAGCATTTATTAAATTAAAGTAAAATTTGTTTCAAGTAGCATCAAAATTTAACCCTTTTCCCCCCAAATGCCACTGAACAAGTTTTTTTTTTCAAAACTAACATTAAATTAGTTAATTAATTACGGAGTAATTATTAGTAAAATTTGTTGTGTATAAGACTAAAAGATACAAGTTTTCCCTATATAGGACTAATAATGTTTTTTTCCTTTTCTAAAAGTATTTTTTTAAAAAAATTCCTTTTCTACCCCTAAATTATAGACGACCACTTGTGTGGATAGAACCAACCCCCCTTTGCACTTTTTTAGTTTTTATCTCTAAATATTTTATTTTCATAATTATGGGTTAATTAGCCACTATTTACGCCTATAGTTTTGTTGGGTTTGTGGAGGCTTGGGCTTGACTTTTGGCCCGGCCCATATTACGAAACCCTAGATGCACTCTTCCTATATATATTGCATACTTGTACTTGTAATCGACACCACAAGTGAAATAAGAAAATCCTCCTGTTGCAGCCGTGGATTAGGGAAACCGAACCACGTTAAATTCTTGTGTGTCGCTTGTGTTCCGTTTCTCTCGTTTCTTGCAGATTATTTGTGTGTGTTGTGTGTTTAATTCCCAACAAGTGGTATCGGAGCTAGATTGTTCAACACGAGAACACGAATAGCGAAAAGCTGTCACCTAGGGTTTGCAGATCTCGATTGTTGGATTGTGGAGAAAGAGAAGTGTAGCGCCGCCTGTTCGAGAAGGGGAGATCTGCGCAGGTGTTCACCACCGTTTGCGAGCCGTCGCTGCATCCCTTCTAGCGCCGCCGTCGACCTCTTGGATCGAGAGGCCGTGCAGAAGGCAGTCCAGCCGCGGAGCCGCCGCGAAGCCACGCCGTTTCAGATCGCGCCGCCGCCGTCAGATCAGATCGTCGCCGCTAGGTCTTGCCATCGTTGCCGCGAGGATCGTCGCCGCCGTTTGCGTACAGACCGCCGCACGCAGGAGCAACGATAGAAGGGGCCGCCGTTAGATCTGAACCGCGCCGCTACCGTCTTCGCGGAGTAGCCAGATCCGCTGCTGCCGTCTTCGCGCAGTAGCCAGATCCGCCGCCGCCGGGTTGAGGAGTCGCCCCCTGTCGCCAAGAAATCACCGTCGCCGCCGCTGAGCATCGGCGCTGCGGTAGTTGAAGGTTCGATCGCTCGCCGAGTCGCCGCCGTCGTCCAGTGCAGAACGCCGGAGAAGAGCGCAGTGCCATCGCCATCCCTGTTTTGCTCCGCTGAAGTAGTCGCCGAAACAAAGAAAGAAAAAAAACTACAGGGGCGGCCGAAGGAAAGAAAAAAAAGAGGCAGTGGGCCTTTTTTTATTTGGGCCGTGATTTTCTTTTCATTGGTGGAGTTTGTTTTTTTTGTTTTGGCTAATTTAATTAGTGTGCTGGGCTTGATTTTCTGACGAAATTACCAAGATCTGAAATTAGTTGTATCGGGTATCTCGTCTAGTCGTTTGAGATGGCAGAAGATGGGAAGTTCCGAATTGAGAAGTTCGATGGTACAGATTTCAGTTGGTGGAAGATGCAAATTGAAGATTTGGTCGTTCAGAAAGATTTGGACGTGGTACTGGGTGACAAGCCAGAAAAGATGTCGGATGCAGATTGGGCAGGTTTGGATCGGAAAGCTATGTCCGTGATCCGTCTCTCGTTGACCAAGAATGTTGCGTTCAACATTCTGAAGGAGAAGACAACGAAGGGAATTATGGATGCACTGTCTAACATGTACGAGAAGCCATCTGCAGCGAATAAAGTTTTTCTGATCAGAAAGCTGGTGAACACAAGAATGAAAGAAGGCACTTCTGTTACCGAGCATATCAATAAGCTGAATTCGATCTTAGCCAGACTTTTGTCAGTGGGCATTAAGTTCGATGATGAAGTTCAAGCTTTGCTACTGCTATCGTCTTTACCTGATACTTGGTCCGGAATAGTTACAACAGTTACCGGTTCAGTGGGACCCGATGGATTCACCTTTGATCAGATTCGAGATCTCGTTCTTGGCGAGGATGTCAGAAGAAAGAGTTCAGGGGAGTCATCTGGTGAATTGCCTCATGTTGGTAGAGGCAGAAGATATAACAGAGGTAGTAGGATCAGGAACAGACAAAGGAGTCAGTCGAAGACTCGTGACAGCTCAGGTGTAACATGATGGAAGTGCAAGGAGGTAGGGCATTTTAGGAATCAATGTCCGAATGATAAGAAAGTAAACATTGCTCAAGGCTCTGCGAGTGACGAGGAGGTCGCTCTGACTTGCTGTGAGGAAAGCAATGTGGATTCCTAGGTCATGGATTCTGGTGCTTCATTTCATGCCACCCACAGCGGTGAAGAATTGCAGAATCTGGTTATTAGAGACTTTGGAAAAGTACGACTAGCGGACGACAGAGCTCTTGATGTGACGGGCATGGGTGACATAGTGCTAATGACCCTAGTCGGTTTCTGGACTTTGAAGGATGTCAAAGTTGTTCCAGCCTTGAAGAAAAGTTTGATTTCTGTCAGGCAGTTGGACGAACAGGGACACGAGGTGAAGTTCAGAGATGGGCAGTGGAAGGTCGTGAAGGGAAATCTTGTCATGGCCCGTGGAAGGAAGAGAGGTTCGTTGTATATGGTCGAGTTACCATCTGAGGGAGTGACCGTCCCAGTTCAGAAGAAAAACGAAGTCCAGTTCACAGAGTCTCGTGGGCAGAATAAGGTTGTCTGTGCAAGAGAGAAACCTAGAGCCACTGGTCAGACTCAGGATGAACGAGCGTGGAAAGGTTCAAGGGGGCCAGTCAGAGGTATTTGTGGCAGTGGGAGCTCAAGAGGCGCTTCAGCCAAGTTGCCTAGAAGACAATGGGTCAGGAGAACCAGTATTCCAGCTGTTGGAGCATCTCCAGAAAATTTCTTGCTGAGTATGGAGATTGTTTGTTCTCAGGATGTTCTAGGATCTGGCAGTGTGCGTCTGCAGTGGGAGCCGGTAGGGACCGAGGACGAGTCAGGGGCAGATTTTGCCGTGACTGATGTGTTGGAGCTTGGGAGAGCTTCAACGGGCCTTTCAGTTGTCTGATGATAGAGCCGCTGCAACAGGAGAGCTGAGGAAGATTACTCGATGTACAGGGAATCGTGGTGGATGGCAGTTGATGATTATCAAGCCTCCAAGTGGGAGAATGTTGGGTTTGTGGAGGCTTGGGCTTGACTTTTCGCCCGGCCCATGTTACGAAACCCTAGATGCACTCTTCCTATATATATTGCATACTTGTACTTATAATCGACACCACAAGTGAAATAAGAAAATCCTCCTGTTGCAGCCGTGGATTAGGGAAAACGAACCACGTTAAATTCTTGTGTGTCGTTTGTGTTCTGTTTCTCTCGTTTCTCGCATATTATTTGTGTGTGTTGTGTGTTTAATTCCCAACAAGTTTAGGGAAAAAATTTATTACTCCACAACCCCTAATTTATCTCCACTCATCAGATTTTGCCTTACCATTTTTCCTCCTCGCCTCCTCGGCATTGCTTTGTTCTACTTCTTCACATATATATTTTTCTTTGTGCTTTGCCAATTTTTATTACTTTTAAAATAATATAATAATGTCATTTCTTGTTTTTAAAACATTTTTGCCACACTTTTGTAGAATCTTTGATATGATTTTTATGTATATACTTTTATTTTTAAATTTTACACCAAATTTTTGAAAAAGTGAACTAAAAACAACTTTAGTTAAACAACGTAACATGTAACAAGAAGATAATCTCTAGACAAAAGGAGTGTTTTTTCACCGTAAAGAAAGAATTACTCAAGATCATAATGTCTTCCAATTGCATTACAAAGACTTAATTCTAGTACGTCTTTTCTTAATGTTCTTTGTTTATATTTTCATTTTTTAATTTGACCCAATTTGTGTGTGTTTATATTTTTCTATGCAAAAAGCATTAAACAATGATTTACTATTGATGAACTAAATCTCTACAGTAATGTCTTTAAAGGCCTAACAATGACTGAAAAATGTAAAGGAAAATGCCCAAAAATAATTAATAAAGAAAACCTTAGCTTCATCAAACGATGCATTAATAAAAGTTAAATTTGCACTAAATAAGACTAAAACATAAGTCATTTGTAATGTAGGACATAAATCCTTTTATTCTCTAAATAGTATGTACTTAATCATGTCTAGCTAGAGAAATAATGTCCAGTGATAGTAGAGAATATTTACATGAATAATGACTAATGAATAATGACCAATGATCCTACATTGGGAAATAAAAACATATGGTCCTATATTGAGAAAACCATTATGTTTTAGTCCTATTTAGGTAAATTCTCCTAATGAAAATTCATAAAGACTTCATCGGTCAAAATATTAATCCAAGTAGGCATTAAACAAAACAAGCATTCACAAAGACTTTAAGGTAAGCACATCAAACACAGTTTTGAACTGAGAAACAAAACAGAGGATTACGACATTCTCACTCCACGACATTGAGTGGGTTACATACTAAAACTCCATTAACAAACTCATATTGTCTTCCAAATATGAAAATAATTAGTCTTTGACAGCAAATTCCGATTAACCCACTTTAGCTGTCCAAGTTCAAAAAGATCACCAAATGCCAACTCCAGCTCTCAACTTCTGCAAATCCAAAGTTTTCAACACTTCCTTCGCCACTTCTACCCCTTTCCAAGGGTAAAATGTAAATTATTATTACCCACTCAAACATGTACACCAATGTTATATGCTTAACCATCAACATGGTTATCACATAAAGACAATATTACAATATTACAACACTAACTAATCAACATACAAACAACGGGAAGCTACAAACATCTATTACAGGGGTTACAACCATGCTTAAACAATTCCCTTCGATGAGCATCTCTTCTACAACACAGGGTTAGAAAGACAGGCAATAGCAACACATCGAAGCATTCTTGTTCATCATCAGGTCCAGGCCATTTCATTTCCCTTCAAAGAGGCAACCTCTTCTACCACACAGGGAAGCCAGCAACCAGGCAAAAGCAGCAACAAACCAAAGCTTAAAGTTTCCATTAACACGTCACAGAAGTCAAGTCATCATTCAGTTGTTTGAGTAACCAGTTTGGGGGTTAAGCAAATAACAGCGGTGTACAGGTTAATCAACAAAGGAAGCCAGGCAGTGTTGGCTCTCTTAGGCAGTGTGCTCAATTGGTGTTCTCCACAATGCAAGTCAAATATATCAAGGCTGAGATGTCTCATATTTCCATCAGTGTCATCAGAATCCAGGTCCAAGAGTCTCAATCAGAGGAAAATCAGCTTCAAGTCATTAAGTCCTCAAGACAGTTAGCAAAGCTGAATGTATATTACCAAGGTTCCATCTTAAATCCATAACAGCAACAGGAAGTACATCAAATGTTCAACAGTGATATGTGCAATTCCAAAGGCATTAAAATCTCCCAGATCCATTATGTCATCAAACCATCAAACATCAGTAACCAGCTCAAGCAGAGCAGTGGAACCAGGCCAAATTACCCTGACCCAGACAAAGGAAGCTGGGTGAGTTTATTTTGGTCTGTTTCCAAGAAAACAAGCAGAGAGGAGAAGAGGAAAGAAAAAAGGAAAGAAAGAGAAAAGAAAGGGGGGGAAAGGAAAAAAGGAAAACCAGGACCCAAAGATACCTCTACTTATCCAAAAGGGGTAAGTAGAGGTAACTATGTTTCCTCACAGCCCACCCTGCCCCAAAAGCCCTAGGATTCAAGTTATTCTAAATTATCCACATCACAAAGACCTGATGAGGTTAATTTGAGTAACCTGTTTCCAAGAAGAAAGGAGGAGGTGAGAGACAAAAGAAAGGAGGAAGGAGGAAAGAGAAAGAGAGAAAAGAAAGGGGAAAGGGGGAAAGGAAGAAAGAAGAAGGAATGAGGACAAGCCCCACCAAGACCCAGCTCTATCTCTAAATATCTAGAAGAGGTATTAAGAGATAGAACTGATCTACCACCCCAAAGGAAGGCCAGTGGAAAGAACCCCTGGCCCCCCAACAAGGTAACCCTCCCTGGACCTAGACCATACACTAGTCATTCTTAAAGAATAAAGATGGCTATGGTTTGGTCTATTTCCACCCGTAGAAAGACAGCCTCAACCAGGAAATCCAAGAACAGATCAGTGGGAAACCCTTCAGGGCCTCACAGCACACAACCCAATCAAACCAGCCTAACCAGCTCTTCCACCAAACAAGATTCTGGGGTTGCTAGGAAAGAGTTTGTACATAACTTTGTACACACTGAGTTTCACCTGTTGAATGACTTGTTGGATATCCACCTCTTTATGCTCAAAGTAAACACTATTCCTTAGTTTCGAGATATGATAAATAGTACTAAGGGTTCCCACTCTACAGATCTTCTTTCTGTTAGAGTGCACTGTGTGCTGCCTTCTCAGCCAATATAACAAATATCATACATGAATCTTCCGATCAAAGACATTACAATACATCTCAATTTGAAAACAATACTTCGTATTATATTCAAAGACATTTTTACAAACACCATCCATGCATGTTCCGATCTTACAAGACAAATGCACATATGTTGCGTTTAAAGACGAAAAAATCAATTTACATACCCTGAGGTGGTTTTCACTCATTCTTGGTCAGCGACTTTGGAATTTCATCGACTAATCATCATCCTTCCTGGGCCTCCACGCTAGTGCTCGGCTGCTATGCTTCTTTACGGAAAAGCTAATTTCACAGAAAAGTAGGAATGGCTAAGAACCCTATGTGCGAAGGAAACATGATGTAAATGGTAAATGCAGCCGCAACTCATGCCGTTTTTTTCGATGTAATTCGATCACCAGCGTGCGTGGAGTTTAGAATCTAAAATTAGAGGTTATTTTAGTCATTTTCTATTCACAAACGTGTGGTCAAATAGGACCACTCCTATTTAGGGAAAACCTGCACCTTCTACTCCTATTTCTGTAAATTACTCTAATTATTAATAATATCCATTTACTCAAACGCTCTTGTATCTCTTTTCTTCTTTTGATTGATTCTCTCTCCTTGATTCATCTACTTAAATTTTCCTTTTTGATGGATATTGTAAAAATTATGGACATTGATCACTGACTTGGAACATCGTAAGAATTATAGACATAAAATACTGTAAAAATTATAGACATTGTTTACCGATCGGGGAGATTGATGGCTAATGAGTGAACATTTATAATTGCGACAATGTCTTTTTTTTAACCGACAATATCTTGGCAATGACCATGTAGACATTCACAATAATATTGGACATTATTAGAGTGAAAATATGGAAATCATTAAATCATGCATGATGGATATTAAGTGAGTGGTGGCGTGATGCTGACTTCAGTATTTTATGATCGGCGGCCAACAAAGGACGATAGGACATGATGGAGCAGTAAATATAAAATCATGTAAAGGGAATTTTAGTACTTGTGGTGCTATATATGAAAATTCACTGTGTTTTAGTGTTATTTAAGAAAAATTCTCCAAAAAAAGGAGATGGACCAAAATAGGAGTAAAAGAGATGTAATATCCGAAAATAGAACACATATTTAATCAATCACTCCTATTTAGGAGAGTTTAAGTTTGAACTTCTATTTTGAGGATATGATCCATGTTTTACTCCTATTTAGTGAATTTTCTTTAAAGTTGAGGGGTGGGGGCTAATTGTTGTTTCATTTTCCCAAAGCAAAAAAATGACGACACGTCCATTAAACTCAAGAATTTAGAGTACAGTCAAAGTTTTCCTCCCATTACAAAAAAAAAGTCCCCCCCCTTACATTTTTATGTTCCCACTCTTTTTTCCATTCTTAAAGCCAATAAATAGCCACCCTTAACTCTTATTCCTTTTTCCAATGTCTCATCGATTTTTCACATCTATTTTTTGAATTTTTGTGTTCTTTTGAATCGTCTCCTCTAAAAAAATCCATTGCCTTTTCTGCCCAGAATTTAGATGAGCACCACTCCCCCCCTTTTTGCCCAGACGTGGTCTCTCTCCCTCATGCTGCCCAAGGGGTTTCTAGTGAACACCTGCATAATGAAAACAATTCCAGTTTACTCCACAAATGCCTTATAAACTCTTAGAGACAATCCATTATCAATGAAATAATGCTACATTCAACACAAAGAGTAGATGGGGAGCCTGTGGCTCAACAAGGTATGATAAACAAAAATGTAGCAGCGTACAATGTTTCACGAAATACTATTTCATCCATATAAGGAACAACTAAGAAACAAATTAAGGAAGGTTTGTCGATCAACGTGGACAATAGGGGGTGAGGTTATGCAGGAAGAAAATGCATTTTTTTAATTTAAGATCAATATCAAATATCCCTCTTCGTATGAGGGCAAATATCTGATTATTGGCCACTTGAAAAGGCATCCCTAAGTCAACAATGCATGAAATCGTAAAAAAAAGCTATGCTTCCTAGCCACTCAAATGAAATTAATCCATTTTCACAGAGGGTAACGAAAAAGAGATTTCAAATTATCATAGATCAAATAAATCCCGAGACACCGGCCACTCATCCCACTTTCAAAAGTCTTTCTAAGTTATTCACATTGACGAAAAATCATTTTTTAGGTCAAGTACTTCTCAGAAGTTCTATTTGCGTTTGAATGAGATTGACCCGGATAGGACTTTTAAGTCAAAAAGGTTCATAACTAAGGTTTGTTCCTAGGTAAAGTTGGTCGGCCAGTACTAGGGGAGAATGAACATGATATTTGGGATGGAAATATTTGTATTTTCCCTTTTTATTGAGATTGTGGAAAAAAAGGAAAAGCAAAATCAGGGAAACAAGAGTTATGGAGACAAAGGCCACAATACTAAGTGTAACTAAGTTAGTTACGAAAGACATGTTACTTTACAAGGTTCTTCTTTCAACTAAAGAAATAATGGCCAATACACGTAAATAAGGATATAGTAATCCAAAAAGATAACGCAAGGACACACATCTCATGGTTGGATGAAGACTTCTTGGTAGCGGCCATGTAACGGCCTGAAAGCGGGGTTAGTAGTTAGCCGTTATTTTGAGAAAATAAATATAATATTTAATTTTTGACTCAAAAATATAAATTATTTGTGAAGTCAACCTTTATATACTCAAAATTAGGTCATTAGGTAGATCTTGTGAAAAAATGACCAACGGTATAAAGTTTGTTAAGTTTTGACTTACGTGTTATAAGTTATGTGAAAAATAGATATTAGAGTGGAATAATTAAATATAAAGATTTTATAAGAAAATAGTGATAAAAACTAAACCTAAACTTTCCAAAAACTAAATCCTACTCGGAAGCGTAGAGTAAAAAGAAAACCTAAACCCCTGCCATTATATGAATAAACATATATGCCGAAGGATTTGTATAAGGAGTATAAAAACGTTGCGAAGGAAGAAAAAAACCAGGGAGAAAACCAATCGCGAGAGGAAGAAAAAACCATTGGTTCATCGCTAGAAAAGACATCCGTCGGGACGCCACGATCTCCATCACCATCCTCTTCTCCATTGCTTATACGGCCATTGATTTGTTTCATTTTATTCGTCCGATAATTGAAGTGAGTTTGTTTATGCAAATTATTTGATTATGATTGTTTAATTATGATTTTATTTGAATTGGTTGATCGATGAAGGCCAGGTGTGTTTTACTACTCAAAATATTCTTGTTTGTATGCTAGAATCTTCATAAAGATTGTATATAATGTTAGTCTGGTACCGCCTAACAGCTATCGGCTACTGCCTAACAGTTACCAGCTACCGCCTAATGGTTACCTGCAATCGCCACAGTGAATGTCACGATCATTCAAAGTAACCGGACGGTACCAAGGTAACGTGAGGCGGTACCAAGGTACCGTATTAGGCGCTATTTGACCTCTTTTGCTTGTTTGGTGCTCCGATTAAGTCACGGATAGATTTCGAGACCTTGTGTGTTGCATGACAATAAGTGGAAGATGTTTACACCCAACACTAGGTCGCTATATGTATTATGTGACGATTTATCTAATTGTTGTTACACTTTTGTTATATTTTTAAATATAATTTGGATATGCCTTGAACAAATATTGTGAGCCGAGGATGGTGGTATAAACCTGAATATGTAGAGCTATTGTAAATAAACGAATAGGTTGCCTGTAGGGACTCTAGGACTACTCTTGTGCGATTGTAAGTGCAAATGTCAAAAGGTAATATCAGCATTGCAGATTTGATATCTGATAGCTCGGAGTTAAAACGTACGTACGAGATCCATAAACTCTTGTTCTAAAGGAGACAGGGGTATCACATACCCAACAGATTACTCCTTCATTGGTAATGTCGTGTTGTATTCTAATGTGTTGTATCTGCGTTGTTATTTAAAAAAGCCTTAGCCTAAAATAAGTTATGAGCTAGTGTTAGAGATGAGTTATTGTAAGAACATAAATTTTGAGTTGATAACTGATGCATCTTAACAGTTAAGGTAAGTAACATGAAGTGTAACTTGTTATGTTGTTGATTTTATTCGATGTTCTTGTGCATGGAATCCTATAAATTGTTATGTATGTTGAATTAATCCTATGCGTGACTTATACTGTTAAAACCTCTCACTCATCGTGAGTTTTACTTGCTACACGTAGGTTACATGAATGACGAATAAGGAAACAATCTTGGAAGGTGGCGAGGATGAGGAGATGTATGGATGCAGGACTAAGGAATTTAATTTTTTTATATTTCTATATGTTTTTTCAGGCATGAACCAAAAGTTGTGTTTTAATGAAGTACTTAAGCTTCCACACCATTTTGTTTACTCCAATAGATATTTAAATATTGTTTTGAATTAAATGTTTTTAATTTTTCTGAAAATTATTGTATTTGGATACCAATCTATTGACAACCTAGTCTGCTAGTGTAAGTGTTTAGGTTATGCGGATTGGGGTGTTGCATTTTGGTATCGGAGTATATGATTTGAAAATCGGTCTATTGACCCTTACAAAAAAAATTGTATTTTGTAAAAAAAAATCAAGACTTGCTTAAAATGTACTCAGTAGCTGTATTCTCATCTCTCACAACTCTTTTGCCCTAGGAAGGTAAATAAACTTTATTATTTGTTTCTATGTGTTAGTATCTAATTTGAAAAGTTTGACCTGTATAGAACGAGGAGAGCTTCTAACAACTAAAACGAGACTCAGAACATGAAACAAAATGTGGAAGTTCAGCCGGACCCTGTTATGCATGCGTTTCTGGCAAATTTCCTACTGCAGATGGCGCAAGCCCCATATGTTTAAACCACCATCTCCACCGTCTCTAAGCAAATCACGTTGAGGACGCTGCAACAAAAAATGGAGCTGAAGAGTTCCTTGGGGAATCAATCTTTGATCCTCAGATTGCAATAGATTGGATTGAACATATAAAAAGAGCACTTGAGGATCCGAATGTCCCATATTTGAATCCTAATCTCGCATTCTATCTCCTTTGTAAGGGAGCATATTATTGGTGAAAGCATGTTGACGAGAATGCACCCAAGCCTTGGACATGGGAGTATTTTGATTGGGCCTTCAAGAAGGAGAGCATTCTAACTTATTTCAGAGAGGAGAAGCATATTGAGTTTGTGAAGCTGAACTAAGAAGATTTGTCACTTCAAGAGTTACGACAGAAATTTGACCACCTTGCCCAGTTTGCTCCTACACTAGTGTCTACCGCAAGGATCACATTGAGGAGTTTCGTAAAAAGCTTTGACCAGACCTTAGGCCATATGTGTCTCTCATAACCACTACAGATTTGAACGTAGCTTATGATCTGTTGGCCAAAGCATAGAAGCATCTAGATGATTACAAAGCTAGTTTGAGGACAGAGGAAGTTGGGCTAAGTACGCGCCCAACAACAATTGTCGCACTTAGTGAGAAGCGACTCATAGGCGAGTCTAGCGATGCCTCTCATGCTAAGAAAGGTAAGTTAGTGCAAGTCTAACTAATTTCGACCCATTATGTGGCTTCTTGTAGTAGGTCAAGGCCGTCAAGATACCCTAATTGTAGTCTTTGTGGGAGAAATCATTCTGGAGAATATTTGTTTACTTAGGGACTTTGTTTGGGTTATGGCAAGCCAGGGCGCATTCGTAACAACTGCCAAACTTGTCAAGCAACTGCGCCACAGCCAGTGCAAAGACAACACATGACCGCTGGAACGAATCAATAGAGGAATCGGAATCCGTAACTAGGGCGAGCTCCAGTGCGCACCTATGCGATGATATGACACATGGAACCTCAAGATAATGATGCTTTCAATGGTACATTTAATGACTTAACCTGACCATGATGACTTGAGTTACATGTTTCTTATCTGTGTAAGTTCTTTATGCATGCTTTATTTGAATGATTATTAGATTAAGGAATTTTGGGGACAAAATTCTTTTAAGGGGAAGAGAAATGTAACCCTCTGGAAACCAGATTAGTAGTTAGCCTTTATTTTTAGAAAAATAAATATAATATTTATTTTCTAACTTGGAAATATAAACTATTTGTAAAGTCAACCTTTATATACTCAACATTTGATTGTTGGGTAGATCACGTGAAATGATGACCAATAGTATAAAGTTTGTTAAGCTTTGACTTACGTGTTATAAGTTATGTGCAGAATAGATGTTACAGTTGAATAACTAAATATAAATATTTTATAATAAAATTATGATAAAAAATAAACCTAATTTTTCTAAAAACTAAATCCTACTCCTAAGAGTATAGGAAAAGAAAAGCCAAAGCCCTGCCATTATAAGAATAGACATATACACCAAAGGAATTGTATGTATACGGAGTATCAAACAAGTAGCAAAGGAAGGAAAAATAGGGTGAGAGCCGATTGCGAGAGGAAGTAGAAACCGCTAGTTCATCTATAGAAAAGACATCCGCCATGACGCCACAAGCTCCATCTTTGTCCTTGTTTCTGTTGCTTATACGACCATTGATTTGTTTTGTTTCGTTCGTCTGATACTTGATGTGAGTTTGTTTATGTGAATTATTTGATTATGATTTAATTTTAATTGGTTGATTGATGAAGGCAAGGTACGTTTTCCTACTCAAAATATTCTTTTTTGTGTGCTAGAATCTCCATAAATATTGTATACAATGTTAGTTGATCAATCTAAAACAAAGCACGCCTGTATAATGATTTAATTAGGGGTTTTGGGTACCCAAATCGTTTTGGGTCCTTGAGAGTTAGTATGAACATCATAAATATCAATGTGTGCCCTCTTCCTATCCTTAGCAATCAATCTAAGCTTCCTAAAACATACAGGAGCTATGTGTCCAACGTGATCACAGAAATGACAAACAACCCTAGGATCATACATATATCTATATGGACTAGAGAGTCTCCTATGTGTCCTAAAGTTGCTAGGTTGTCTAGGTGCATTCCTTACATTCCTAAAATTGTTAGGTTGTCTATTTCTAGTAAATTGTCTAGGTTGTCTAGTGAAACTATGAGAAACGTAACTCCTAGACTGACTAGGTTTTCTCATCCTAGAAGTAGTGGGGGGAATTGCTACTCTAGGTTTAGTCATCTTAGTGTTACAACCAATTTTATGAACTATATTACTCCTATCCTTAGGATTCTCCAAAGGTCTTGCTCCTTCTTTAACGAAATTCACCTTTTTAAAACCTTTAGATTTATAGCCTAGTCCATTTTTATTGTTTTGTCCTTGTTGAACTATAAAGTGCATATCTTTGCTAGCATTATTAAAATTTCCTAAATGTTCATGCAATCTAGCTATCTCTTTTTCATGGATATTACATTGTGCACAAGGAGTGTCAATACTAACCTTGCCAAGTTTCTTATTTTCAAGTTTCAATAAGTCCATCTCTTTATTAAGTTCAATTATTTGAGCTTCTAAAAATGTGACATTTTCTTTGGCAAGCTTAGTTTCTTTGGTGGATTTGAGAAATTCACCATAGAGATCACTAAATGCACTATGTAAATCATCCAATGAAAAGCAATCACTTGAAGATGATAAAGGAGTTGAAAAAGAATTAGAAGATACCTCTTCCTCGGTAGCCATTAGACAAAGATTTGCTGTTTCTTCGTCCTCATCACTTGTTTCGGAAGATGAATGATCATTCTCCCATGAGATGTATGCTTTTTGCTTCTTCTTGAACTTCTTGTCCTTCCCTTGCTTCAACTTAGGACAATAAGGCTTGATGTGCCCTATCTCACCACATTTAGGTGGTGTAGCTTTCTTACCATTGTCTCTCCTTGGCTTGAAGCTTTTCTTGATAAACTTGTTGAAGCGTTTGATGACAAGTGCAAGTTCGGGATTATCTTCTGAATTAAGTGATTCATCATCATCTTCTTCATTTTCTTGTACAACTTCCTTGGTGGCTTTCAATGCTATAGATTTCCTCCTCTTGTCTTCACCACGTAGATGAGGAGTAGTAGTTTCATATGTGAGTAGTTTCCCACGAAGAGTATCATAAGTTAAGACAGTGTAGTCTCTTCCTTCAGTTATGGCATTCACCTCGGATTTCCACTCAGGATTCATACAACGTAGAATTTTCCGGACAAGCTCATGATCGGTGTAATACTTTCCGAGCGTGTCAAGATTGTTGATGATTGTAGAGAATCTCTCAAAATAACTATCAATGCTTTCATTCTCCTTCATTGAGAATAATTCGTATCCATGCAATAAGATATCAACTTTAGCATCTTTAACTTGAGATGTACCTTCATAAGTGACTTCGAGTTTAGTCCACATCTCATTGGCGGATTTGCATCTTGATATCTTTCTATAATCATCAGGGTTGACTGCACAATAAAGATAGTTGATGGCTTTGGCATTTTGCATGACATTTTTCTTGTCTTGATCATCATATTCGGATTCCAACTTGGGAACACGAATTCCATCAACAATATTTGCAGGGGTAGTGTTTCCATGCTTGATTACCATCCATGAGTCGAAATCATTTGATTGTATGAATATCCTCATTCTTTCCTTCCAATATGCATAATTTGTACCATCGAAGAATGGAGGACGTGTAGTAGATTGTCCTTTGGATACACCGGTTTGGAATGTTCTTCCGTCCATGATCTAGATTTCCAGCGGTAAAGCTTTGGAAATGCAACTATGCTCCGATACCAATTGTTGAACAACTTACGCACCTCTAGAGGGGGGGTGAATAGAGGTGTTCTTCAATAATCAAAACTCTTGGAAGATTAAACAAGAATTCGCAGGATTATATCAACCACAAGAACACAAAGAAGAAGAGGAGCAACACACGATGTATACGGGTTCGACCTAATGCCTACCTCCAGTCCCCGAAGCAAACGTGCCCGAGATTCCATTAACTTCGTCAACCTTAACGGAGGTTGACAATCCGATTACAACTCAAGAACTTGAATTCACAAGCCTCTAACCTTTCCACCGAAGTCTTGATTTCACAAGACCTAGGATTTCTCTCCAAAACTTGAATTATAATAGCTTCAAGTTTTTACAATTCACACACCATTCCAAAACAAAGTGCACAGCGGAAATACTCTTCAAATTAAGAGTGGATTGCTGTAGAATACAAGAACTTATAGAGTATGGCACACTAGTACTCTCCAAAACTCAAGCAGATATTGATTTCTTGAAGAATTGCTTGGAAGTATTGTTGAAGGATCAAAAGTATGCGTTGAAATGCTTGGATTAATTAAAAGAATATGTTTGAATGAATATATATAATGTTCTTCAAGCAAAAGAGCCATTGTATGTGAGTTATGGAAGATAAGGATGGATAACTTCCTTAAAAACTGACAAATCTGCAGTTCAAACTGACGACTTATTCGAATAAAATCAGATTTATCCGAATAGTTTAGAGCGAAAAACACAGACTTATTCGACCAAGTGAAGACTTATTCGACTAAGTCACTGTAGGATTTAAGAAATGAGCTTCAGGACTTATTCAAATAATTTGCTAACTATTCGAATAGGACAGAACTGAGAACTTTAACTTATTCGAATAAAACAAGAGTTATTCGAATAGTTTTCACAGTTTTGAAAATGTGATTTTGCAACTGACTCAAAAAAAACAATTTGAAGGGTTTTTGGAAAACATTTTCAAAGAGGAAAAACAACTAACGTGCCATACACTTTAACAAAAATGCTAAGACCAAAACGAAAAACAAAAACACTATATCTTCACACTTGTCTTGAGATCCAACGCATGATCGTGAAGATCAACATTCAAAGTAAGCCCATGAGATAGTTGTCATTATCAAAACACAAGGGTCAACATGCTACACATAGGTAACAAGAATGACGAATAAGGAAAAAATCTTGGAGGGAAGCGTGGATGAGGATATGGATGGTTGTAGGACCGAGGAATTTAACTTTTTAATATTTCTATTTGAATTTATTATTTTTTCGAGCATGAACCCAAAGTTGTGTTTTAATTAAGTACTTAAGCTTCTGCACCATTTTGTTTACTCCGATGGATATTTATATATTGTTTTGAATTGAATGTTTTTTTATTTTGAAAATTATTGTGTTTGGATATCAATGTAGTGACAATCCATTCCTCTAGTCCATGTGTTCAAGTTACATGAGTTGGGGTGTTATAGGCCAATATCGATGGCTTTAATATTACACTGTCAAACAAAGCCCACAACTCCCCTAAGTTGAACATTTTAGGCTTGGGTTTATATGCATTAATGCAATATGCAAAAAATACATATGCACCAACTAGTGTTGTGGAGTTAGTGGCAATTGTAAACAAGACCATCAAACAACTATCCCTCCACACACTTAATAAGGTATGGGTGAGCTACTTGTTGGTGATGGAAGAAGCGATAAAGTTCGAAGGAGGGAACAACTACATGCTTCCACATGCACCAAAGGATAAATTATCTAGAGGGGACCAGTTGCCTCATTCCATACAACTAGAAAATAGAGTGTATAATGCTGCCTTGGAGAATCTGATGCAAACCTCAAAATTGAATGTAGAGCACATGGATACTAATGAAGACCATGTATGAAGATTTGGGTAAATGGAGCAATACAATGTATGCACTGATTTAGATTTTTTTATGGCAGACCATGCTTATTATTTATTTGAAAGCAGTAACTTTTTTTGGTTTCGTTACTTCACACAGACCTTTTTGTTTAGGTGCACCAAATGAATGTTTCCATGTTCATGTGATATGTACAGGTCTATGCAATATGCACTATTCATCATATCAACATTTCCTTCAAAAATGAATGTAACATGTTTATCATATACTTTAATTTCCATTTTTTATCAATACATGTTCATAAAGTACAATAGTCACTACATATATCAAACAAAATTCAAATGCCTAAATCATGCTTAGAAATTAACTGCTTTAGGGAAATAAATTCAATACTAGGCATCCAAGTGAAAATGGGGAAAAACTTTGAGAATGAAATTTTACTATAAAATTCCATGGGAGTAGATCCCCTTGGAGAAATAAGCGGATTCAACATCGTCTTGTCAATACTAGGCATCCAAGTGAAAATGGGGGAAACTTTGAGAATGAAATTTTACTCTGAAATTCCATGGGAGTAGATCCCGTTGGAGAAAGAAGCGAATTCAACTTCGTGTTGTCACGCAGCAAAAGTGAGGTTGGAATAAGGAGTGTCTTATAGAAGAGTTCAAAGTCCATTGCTTAAATAAATTCAATACTATGCATCCAAGTGAAATTTGGGAAAAACATTGAGAATGAAATTTTACTCTGAAATTCCATGGGAGTAGATCCGTTTGAAGAAAGAAGTGGATTCAACATCGTCTTGTCACGTAGCAAAAGTGAGGTTGGAATATGGAGTGTCTTATAGAAGAGTTCCAGGTCCACTGCTTTGGAGTAGAGCTCCTTTGAGGAAGAGTTGAGACTTTTATAGACCTGATCGCTTGGCCATCTCTTCGCTCATGCATGTCTACTCCCTCGTACGAGTCTAGTATCACCACTTGAACGTTTCCCTGTCACTCTACTTCCTGTCGTTCAATCCGCCACTAGAAGCATCTAGAAGATGCTCAAGAGGACTTCTAGGAATAATAGAAAGAAGATATATATATATATATATATATATATATATATATATATATATATCCTTTGTTTTCATACAAGTTCAAAGATTAAAAGAAAATGTGTGAGAAAAAATTGAAAGCAGATGAAGAAGACTAGTGGAAGAGAGATAGTGGGGGAAGAAAAATGAAGGGGTTGGTTGGTGTAATAATATTGATGGTGGTGGCAACGGAGGAAAAATGAAGGGGTGGGGGCGTGGGCTGAATTACTCCGCAATTTGGATTGTGTGGGTTAAATTGAGGGTGTTATAGACATTTACAATTTAAAAGTAAGTTAAAAAAGAAAATGAGAAGAATATTTCCAGACGGATCAAAAAGGGAAGGGGGAAGAATATTCTTGGACGGAAGGAGTGTTTGTCCGAAAGGAGCAAAAATATTTATGCTAACCAATTATAGAGATATCGAGCAAGTTGGCAGAAAACTTGATATACGTAACATATTATTATAATTGCAATTATTATTAGTACTATTTAGATTCATAATTCACTCAGTTGATTGAGGATGATAAAATAGCATTAATGCTAACTTAATCATAAATGTTTGATACAATATATATATAGGGAGAGAACTATAGGACTATACATAATTATCTAGAATACCCAAAACTATATATTAATTATATATTCTGTTTAAGATCCACCCTTTAGCTGAGTCTAGCAGTATCTAGAGGAAGTTGTGATACGAGTAGCTGATAAAGTTGAGGGGCTAAGGGTTTTGGCAGAAAATCTGCCAGTTGTGCCTTGAAGGAGACATGAACCATGATAATGGAGCATTCAATGACTTGCTCTCGAACAAAGTGACAGTCTGCTCTCACATGTTTCACCCTATTATGAAGCACTGGATTTTTGGTAAGGCATATAGCACATTGGTGATCACAAAAGATCACAAGAGGTGGCGTATTGTTATGTAGATCAATTAAAGTGTATGTAAGCCACATGATTTTTAATGCGGAAGCAGAGAGAGCGGAGTTTTTAGCTTTGGTAGATAACTTAGACACGCATGTCTATTTTTGTACTCTAAGATACCAAATTTCCCGAATATATATAAGATATCTTCTTGTAGAACGAATGTCGATGGATCATTAGCCCTGTCAGAATCAGAATAGCCACGTATATGGAGATCCCCTGCTGAACACGAGACCAAGAGATATAGTACCTTGAATGTAGCACAAGATACATTTCAAAGAGTGAAAGCCTTGCTCTATAGGTTGATTCATATTCTTAGCAACATAATTAAATGCAAATGAAGGTTTGTCTTGTGATTGTTAGACATTTTAGGCCACCAACAAGACTTTAAAACAAATGAGGATTTGAAAAGGGATTGTCCTCACCATTAGTAAATGAGCTGGGACTTATCGGCATGGGTGTATGAGTACAAGACTCCATCCAAGCGCGATTAATAAGATCTAGGGCATATTTTGCCTGATCAAGGAGAATATGGTCCCGGCTTTGTTCCACCTTGCAAGCCCAAAATATTTTAGTTGACCAAGATATTTCATCTGAAATTCTTGATGCATGCTATTGCTAAAACCTTAATTAGGGAGAAAAAGAACCAGTAACAACAATATAATCAACATACAAGAATAAAATAAGAGTGCCATGTGAGAGTGCTTGATGAAGGGGCTGGTGTTATGAGTGAAATTTTGTAATCCCTAGGCCCCAAGGAAGGAAGCCATCCACCAGCACCACACCTCACTATCCTCCGGGTTGCTCCTCATTCAATCCTTGATCCCTGCATGTAAAAGCATTGAGCTTGGAAGTATCTAATGCTAGAACTAACTCATAGAATAGAATTCACTAACATATAATCATAGAATATTAGAAGAGTCAACAAATATCATTATTCAACAGCATAATCAATCGATCATACATTTGTTCATTCGTTCATTCTAGATCCTTGCATAATCTTACCATACCAACATATACCACTAAAGTGTAACTAAACACATTGGTCATAGACACTTCTATAGGTGCCAAGAATCTAATCTTGTAACCCAATGGAAGGTGTCCAAT